AGAGAGAAAGATAAGTACAGGAGAGGCAGGAAGCCTCATGAATAATGTCACTGGAGCATGAATTCAGATTCGAAGCTTTGAAAACTCGGGGGAGCCGGGTAGCACGGAGGGCTTCCCTTGGCCCCTTTGGTTCCCAGCTTTCCTTACAGGATCAGAACCTGCAGCATCAGGGCTGTGGCTGCCCAGTGGCTGCCCCCGTGGAAGGGCCTGGCTCCCACTCGTGGCTTCTCTAATGAGGGCCATGGAAACCTGGGGCATGCCGTCCTGGTCTGGAAAGTTCTAGATTCGAACTTGGAGCAACACTCACCAGCCAGGACTCTTTCCCCTCACCTGGCCTGGCAGCTGTGTGTGTGCCTGTGTGCATTTGTGAGCACATCTTAAAGGAAACATGTTTTGCAGTGTGCGTGCACTGCAAAGAACCAGCTCCCAACCACGCAGGGGCCGTGTGCAAGTGGGCATTGGGGAAGAGGCGCTGAGCGGCTGTCCATGGACATGCAAGGGAATTTTCCGCTGCTTCTAGGATCCTGTAAACCACTCCTTTCTTTCTTTTTTTTTTTTTTCTAATTTATGATGTGTTTTAAAAGTGTGTTTTTAAAAATTATTATTATTATTTTACAAGATCCATGCAGTCTGCGTGGTGCTTTATAGGGCGTATCCAGCTACAGCTGGTGCACGGCTGGGTGTTTTATGGCAAATTATTCTCAGATTACCCTCTAATGCAAGAAGGCCTGCCTGTTGTCTGTGCTCCCTGGGTCATATAGAAGCTCCTCCAACTTGATACAAAACAGCTGCCTCCGTCAGCTGTTCCAAAAAAGGAGCATTTTGAGGCTGAAGCCACAGGAAAAAGTTTTTTTTTTTTTTTGTAATCGGTGGAGATGATGAAAAATGTTAAATTACTCCTTCCTGGTCATTAAAATGTGATTTCATTTGGTTACTAACAAATTGTTTAAATCTCAGAAGAAGGGCTCCGAGAGGGACTTTGCTAATTGTGCTCTGGCAATAGGTCTGGGGTGGGGGTGGGGTGCGGCGTGCGCTCCCCAGGGAGGGCGCACAAAACTCTTGCTGACCTCTGTGTCCTGGGGCCTCAGCCCGGCTGGGCCCGGGTCAGGGGGCGGACCCCTGGGTCTCACTCCCCTCGCTCCACTGCGTCCCCGCTGAGGCCAGCAACAAAAGGGTCAATTGTCTGAGGCCTTTCTTTGTCTGAAGGGCTCCACGGGCCTTTCTGAATGCCAAAGTGTATCCATGTGTGCCGGTAAGGTGTTGGTGCACATCTGTGTGAGTGTGTATGTGTGTACATGTATGGTGGCACATGCACATATGTACATGCCAAAACGTGTGCATGTGCCTGCGTGTACATATAACGATGCAGGGGCACGTGCATGTTCTGTGAGAAGGCATCATGCGTGTGCATGCGTTCGTGTGTAAGTATGTATATGAACGTGCATAACTGCATATTTGTGCACAAGTCTGTGTGTGTGCAGGTGTGAATGTGTACATGGGTGAGACTTGCGTAAGGTGTTCTGAGTGGCTTGTGCTTCTTAGCAGAGCCAGGGCCTCAGAGCAGCCCGCCTGGCCCCTGCAGCTGCCCAAGGCCAAGTCCCTCCGGCTCATCCCTGAGCAGATCCCTTGCTCATCCCTTGCTGTGGGTCAGAAACCTCAGAGACTTGCTACCTCTGCCGCTTTCGCTGTTTCCCTGTAGGGGTGAGGAAGAGCAGGCGCGAGAGGCTCCCTACATAGCTCCTCAGCCAGCTTTGCCTCACTGGGCTGCTCCAACCTGGGGTTTCAAGGCACCACCCACAAAATGTTTTCTACGCTTGTCCCAGCCCCTTTTGGGAGCCTCCTCATTGTATCCAGGGCAAGTTGCATAGTGTTTTTGCCATGTTTCCAGAACGACTCTGAAATGCCCTGTTTCCGTCCACCCTGAAGGTCTGTTCTCACATAGCCCCAGGATCTGCCCATGGTCTCAGGTCCCACAGGGGTCTGCAGGGAGCTGTGGGCATTCTGGCCTTCGGTTCCAGCCAACCCTGATCACCGAGTTTCCATGATTCACACTCTGTTCCTTAGCAAGGGTGTCCTTTTAAAAACGACCATAAAACACATTTGATTCAGAAGCCAGGAAAAGCCTAATAAAAACGCTTCATTGAAATCCACCCTTGCAGAAGATTTATCTCCCAGCCCCCGTTAGCTAGCGCGGCTGCCAACGAACAACTTCTGATTCCTCATCCTTGTGCTTCCCAGCCCCGTTCCTCCCCCTGTCCCAGCAAGGGCTTATCTTTCAACTGTGCAAAAGCCACCAATTAAACTGTACTCCCTAGCTTATCGAAATGTTCAGTTGGCAAAATTATCTTATAATGAGCCTAGCTGTAAGCCAGGACTTTTTAACCCCAGGAAATGCAAAGTGGCCCAGCAAGTGAAATCTGTCCGTCGCTCTTCCTGAGTTTAGGCTTCAGTGTCTGCCTTTCCCACAGCAATTTCTCCCACGTTCTTTATGTTCTTGATGGCCCCCGAGGCATCTTCCTCTTCTGTTTGTTTAACTCTCAAAGCAAACCCCCTCTCAGTGAATTGAGACGGATAATTGAGCGAGTCCAGGTGAGGGTGATGTGAAAGGAACTTGGTTTCATATCTTTCACGCCTTCGCTTTTAGACATTCTTTAGGTGGAACTTGAGCCTCCTCCCTGATCCTCACGGCTCACCGCTGCCAGGTCTGCATTTTGTGTGCCTGTAGTGAGAACGCAGAACCGGATTGTTCCGGAGCCGAGCTGCTCTCAGCACATCCGGGACATTCTGCCGCACGTCCAGCTGGGCAGCAGTGTTGGGCTTTCTCCTCTCAGCCATGTCTTATTCTCAGTGCAACACAAATGTCACCTCCTCCCATCCAGTTCCACTGGGGCCAACATCAAGGGAACTTTGATGTTTGGGGCTGTTAAGGTGCAACTCAGACTTATCACACAGAAATGATACAAATGCCACTTGGGTTCTCAACTCCTGTGAGTCTAGAGGTAGAGATGCCACAGCTGGGCATGGTGGATGTTGACTGTTGCTTTTTCAAAGTTCGAAAAACCAATCTAAAAACTAAATTTTGGGCTGTACCAATATTTTCATAAATAAGGTATTGCTTTATATCTAGTGTACTAATGGCATTACTTTTTAAAAAAGATTTATTTATTTATTTTATTTGAAAGGCAGAGTTACAGAGGGGCAGAGGCAGAGAGAGAGAGAGAGAGAGAGAGGTCTTCCATCTGCTGGTTCATTCCTCAGATGGCAGCAATGGCTGGAGTTGGGCCGATCCAAAGCCAGGACTTGGAGCCTCTAAGGGGTTTCCCACGTGGGTGCAAGGATCCAAGGACTTGGGCCATCTTCTTCTGCTTTCCCAGGCCACAGCAGAGAGCTGGATCAGAAGTGGAGTGGCTGGGACTCGAACCAGCGCCCATGTAGGATGCCAGCACTATAGGCAGCGACTTTACCCACTATGCCACAGGGCCAGCCCTTGACTTTTAAAATTTTTTAAAAATTTATTATTTCTTTGAAAGGCGGGGTGGTGGGGGAGAGATCTCCCACCTGCTGATTCATTCCCCAAAAGCCTGAAATATCCAGGACTGTGCCAGGTCAAAGCCTGGGAGCCAGGACCCCAGTCCGGGTCTCCCACAGGAATGGCAGGGACCCAACTAACTTGAACCATCGCCTGCTGCCTCCTAGGATGTTCATCAGCAGGGAGCTGGAATAGGAAATAGAATCAGAACTTGAGCCCTGGCACTGCGACATGAGATGCAGGCATCCACTAGTGTCTTAACTACTCTGCCAAACACCTGCTCTATTCATCAAATTTTTCATATCTATTGGGCAGTAAGCGTGTGAATTTGCGTGTACACACACACATGCACACACCTTCCTATGGATATAAACATACAAAAACAGAAAAATTGCTTCATGCTCACATTACTCCTGGGAGAAATGCTTATTCGGTCTGTATTATACTTGGGCAAACTGAGGTTCCGAGCGTTTCAGTAGCTTGCCGATGCCTACAGGGTTAGCTGCCAAGCAGGCCTGGCTCTTGTAGTCCACTGCAGAGCTTGTGTGAAGTAGCTGAGGTCTAGGTCGTGTGACTCGACCTCCACGGATTTTCTAGAGCTTTCTGGGACTTCTGTGGAGGAAAGAGATCATGGCTTCCCCTCCGCCTACTTTTGCTGCTGTGCCCTGCAGTTGTGTGCACCGTCTCTTGAGGTCTGCATGTGTCTCAGGCTGATTCTCCCCTGTACTCAGAGCTGAGGCTGTGCCTCAGTGTGAAGGTGGTTCTGCTTGGTGGCCTGGGTTTGCGCTCCGTGCTGCTAGGTAGCAAAGGACGGGCTCGAGGCTTTGCTCTCCCAACACAAGCCTTGGAATCAACTGCATGCTGCCATCCCCTCCTCTCGCTGCAGTGCCTCAAGCTAAAAGAGCCATGTTTGGGAGGGATGCCTTCTGTCTAATCCACAGTGAAACACTCTGGACCTCTTTAAGACCCCTTCAAAATATGATTATCCTTTAAAGGCTAAGTTGAAACTAAAGATCTATTATTAGATGCATTGTTTTTTAATGCTTATGTATTCAGTTTTATTTCTTTGAAAGGAAGAGTGACAGAGAGAGAGAGAGAGAGAGAGAGAGATGTTCTATCTGCTGAGTCACTCCCTAAATGCCTACAATAGCCAGGAATGGGTCAAGCTGAAGCCAGGAGCCCCCAAACTCCATCCGGGTCTCCCACGTGGGTGGCAGGGGTCCAACACTTGAAGCGTCACCTGCTGCCTCCCAGGTGTGCCAGCAGGAAGCTGGGTAAGCATTCTGATATGGGATGTGGGCCTTACCCGCTGTGCCACAACGCTGCCCAGGTGTGTTATCTGTGAAGCACTGAAGTAGGGTATCTTAGGAAATGTTGAAAAAAAAAATAAAGTTGACCATACTGAGTGAATTTTCTTGTGAATTCTGCATACTCTTGATTTTCTGTAACCTGTATGTTTCTCTGCTTACAGCTTGGGTTGACGATAGCCATTCGCTACAGTCACAGGTAAGGCTTGAAGTTTTCTTTTTCCTTTCAACAAATGTACTTACTGGTTTATAGCTTTTTGTGTGCTGGAGTCTCAAGGGTTTTGATCCACCATGAATGTCAAGGTCACAGATGAAATTGTTCTAGCTGCTTGATTGGCAGGAGTGGGTCTCTGTGTGGGGGAATGAGGTCTTTGCCTGGAAGTGGTGGTAGATAGCAAGTTTCCTTCAACACAAGAAGGTGGGATGTGCTACAGCCAGAACAAAGAAGTGATCTCTGGGTAACACACCCTGTCCCAGAGTGGGACCTGGAATCAGGAATGACCTGTGTGAAGCCTTTGCCCGTGTACATGGGCCCTCCCTTCCCATCCGTCTTAGGTGCAGCTGGCTGTGGCTAAATGCTTCAAGTTGTCTGCCTTTGTCTCAAGTGCACCGTGTGAGAAAGCTGCTTCTTGAACCATAAGTGTGATTTTGTATTACAAATGCTTGTTTCTAAGTATCGACCTTTCCACCTTGGTATCCATCAGAATGCATTAAGGTGTTGAGTTTATTAAAGTAAGATCCAGCCCCAGTGGATGGGCAGTAGGCTGTGTCTGCCCTGTCCTTACACAAACTACTCATAACTTCCCCAATATGCCACCCACTAGGAGTAGCTTTGGGCTCAGTGACATCTGGTCAGCTGTTCACAACAGCCCCAAATGTTACCTGATTTCAAATAAGTTTGCCTACTAAAGACCCTGATAAGTAGATGTCTGCATGGTTTCAGTTTGAACGTGAACTGAGCAGTCATAAGCAATCATTGAGGCTTTGAAATCTGCTGGAGAGCAGTGCAGAGAGGGCAGGTACGGATTTGAGCGAGCGAGCTAGAGGTGTTCGTGTGGGCTGCTTCTGGGCACCTGTGGGGGAAGCTGTGCCGGGGAAACTCAACGACTGTGTAAGGGAAACGAGAGAGCTTTTCTTCACTCATCCCTAGGCTCCTGGCGGAGGCCCCACGACAGAAAAGAGACTCACCAGAAACAAAGCATGCAAATTTATGGAGCGTGACTTTCACTTGACAGGGAAGGCTTCGTAAGGAAATGAAAACCCAAGAAACAGAGACTTGTGTATTTTTTATTTCAGTGTGATGGAGAAGTGCACAGTCGTGGGGAAGTGTGGCTGGACAAAGGCAGGGGTGGTCTAAGTTAATAAGCTTGGAGGTGGGGGGGCTAAGCAAGGTCTGTTTGCTCCGACTCATTGCTGTGACCCCGAGTCTTCCGAGATAAGGCTGTTCCTCTCCCCGGGGTGCAAGGAGGATGCGTCTCAGAGGAGGGCTTTACGACCTGCTTCAGGGGAGAGGAGCGAGCGTGACTTTCCTGCTGAGCCGTATTTTAGGGCAGTGTGTGTGGACCCCCATGCACTGCCTGTGTGCATCCGAGTCCCCGTGTGCAGAAGCACCTTGTCCTGCTGAAGCTGGTGCTCCCCTCCCAGCACGGAAGCATGCAAACATGGCTGCACACTCAGGAGGCGTGGCGTGGGCCCTGAGCCTGGACCCGACAGCCCCTGGGCACTGGATGTGTCGCAGCAGGGCAGAGAGTGGCTGGGCAGTGCTCCCACAGGAACTTGCAACAGCCTCTTTTTCTAGATGTTCTAAATGTGAACTGCTCCTTTGGAACCAGGTAAGATGGTGGTGGTGGTCGGGGCAGGAATGTAGACCTGGGGAGGTCCTAGCTGGCTGAGGCCTTTGCCCCCTGCGGTTGTCAGGGCCTAGGTCTGTGTTTGTAGACAAGATTCTGGTTTCCCCATTAAAGGCCACCCCGGGTACCTGGAGCCATTTTCTGTTGTCCCAGTGCCACATTGGTTGGGGGAGACTCTTCTCGGGGCTGAACACAGTCTTCATCTGGGAAGGGAGGCCACCTGGCCATTTAGATTTGCCTCCCCTTGGGGCCGGGGCCACTGGGTGAATTCTAGAAGGAAGCTCTTTGCCTAGGTTGCCATCGGCTTTCCCCTTTGGCTCCTGTCTCCCCAGAGCAGCCTGGCGTCACTGAAGACTACTGTGATCAGTAGACAGCGTTTATGAGGCTGAGCACAAAGCAGGGTCCCTGGCCATGGCCCCACAGAAGCTAAGGATGGGCTCGACTGTCTTGAAGGGGAAGACATGGGGCAGCTGTCAGGGCCCTGTGGGCTTGTCTCTGCCCAGCCTAGGGCTGCGATACCTCTTCAGACTCAGACTTGGGAAAATGGAGAGATTTTACCTTTGAATCCTTAGACTTGCTCCTAGTGTGAGTTTCGAACTTCCTGGTCCAGGGTGTTTCTTCCATGATCCTTTGTTGGGAAACCAGTTGGACAATAGCCAGTGGCTGTCAGAGGGACCAACACTGCATGTGGTTGCAGCCTGACAGCTGACAGGTGGCGGACAAGTCACCTGTCCCTCCAGCCTCAGGCTCTGTGATCTGCTAGCTATTTTTTCTTGGGAAAATTTCCCAATTTTCTTACCCTTTCTCACTGCTTATCTAGAATGACCTATCCTAAGGGTTATCAAGAACAGTAGAGGTCATGGATAGAGCACTCCAAGCCCGGGTTGGGCACCGAGAAGGCAAAGACAGTGCGAATTCCAAAGTGCTGGCTCTTTCCATGGCAGGTGCAATGGGAAGGGTTGCCCACAATCCATCCTTGCCAAGTCTCATCCCTAGAGAGCAGGAAGTAAGACTTGGACAAAAGCTGTTTTTAAAGAGTTTGGATTCTTGGCCTTGCTCATCTTGTGGCTGTGCTAATGGAGCCTGCTCCAGTGTCCACGGCTGCCTAATGTCACCAAATCAGGATTTACCACGTGCATGTATTCTGCAGGTCAGGGCTATGGAGATGGCCGTGGCGATGGCTTGCGTCTGCTTCCCAGGGTCTGGAGCTTCTGTTGGGAGACTCTGGGTTAGGACCTGAATCGTCTGAAGGCTTGATCACTTGTGTGTCTGGCTGTTGGCCAGGGCCTCTTCATTCATGTGGAAGCATCTTTGTGCTTCCACACAGCACAGCCTTTGGCTTTCTCAGAGTGAGTGTCCCACAAAGAGAGGAGTAGGTGCTCCCTAATGCAGCCTTGGAAGCCACATAGCATCAATTCCACCTTACTCCATCCTCGGGGCAGCCACATTCTCCACTTGTGTTCAGAGGGAAGGAGTAGAGACCCCACCTCTCAGTGGAAGAGTTGTGACACAAGCGTATGGGGTGGGAAACAGCAGCATGGTCCTCTTTGGAAAATGCAGTCTGCCACAATTCCCATCTCAATATGTGGACTCTATTTTTTTTTTAAGATTTATTTGTTTATTTGAAATGCAGAGTTACAGAGAGAGAGAGGAGAGGCAGAGAGAGGTCTTCCATCTGCTGGTTCACTCCCTAGATGGCTGCAACAGCTGGAGCTGTGCCGATCCAAAGCCAGGAGCCAGGAGCTTCTTCCAGTTCTCCCAAGTGGGTTCCGGGCCTAAGGACTTGGGCCATCTCCTACTGCTTTCCCAGGCCATAGTAGAGAGCTGGATCAGGAGTGGAGCAGCCAGGTCTCAAATTGGCGCCCATATGGGATGCCAGCACTGCAGGCACAGCTTTACTCACTATGCCACAGCGCGGGCCCCTGCCCTATGTTTGACTGCCGACACACATTCTACGGGAGGTTTATTTAACCCCTCTGATTAGACGGAAAACAATTGCATTTCTCAGTGTATCCAAATGAAGCTGTGTTTCAACAACAAATCAGAATCAGCTTCTCTCCCTGCCCCCAGTCCTGAGTGACCAGCAAAAGGGAAGAAAGAGCTAAAGAGACCATTCCCAAGGAGGGGAGGGTGTCTGGGCCTGTCCCATGGTGCGTCGGGGGCTGTGGCAGAGGGCCTGACTTACGGGCGGCAGGATGTGGTGGTCTCGGGGGGCGGTGCTGAGTGATCATGTGGCAAGCCAGGCCCCAAGGAGCGCTGTGTTGGGCAGCTTTCTGTTCCTCCAGCCCAAGGCTGAAGGGGAACCACTCGTGAAGCAAAGGTTGGCTTTGGCTCCGTTTTGGAAGCCCACAGTGCAAGAGTGCGCAGGTCCCCTTGGTTCAGCCGCTGGTGAGAATGCAGCATGGCACTGGAGGGGTGTGTGCAGGGGAGGGGTGACGTGGGGAGCAGAGAGAATGGCCAGGCCCCGCTCAGATTTTAAAATGAGAACCCCATGGGGCCGGCACTGTGGCACAGCAGGTTAAAGCCCTGGCCTGAAGTGCCAGCATCCCATATGGGTGCTGATTCTAGTCCCAGCTGCTCCTCTTCCAATCCAGCTCTCTGCTATGGCCTGGGAAAGCAGTGGAAGATGGCCCAAGTCCTTGGGCCCCTGCAACCCATGTGGGAGACCTGGAAGAAGCTCCTGGCTCCTGGCTTCAGATAGGCGCAGCTCCAGCCTTTATGGTCATGTGGGGAGCGAACCAGCGGATGGAAGACCTCTCTCTGTGTGGAGTCTGTATGTGGAGCACTTGTGGAAAGAAATTGAACACACTGTCCTTGCTACAAAGTACTTTCTAGTTGGGGAGGCACTATATATATGTGGAAAGAAGACTTGAGAATAGACACAAATCTTTTTTTTTTTTTAATCTGAAAAGGAGCAGGGAGGGAGGGAGAGAGAGAGGGAGAGAGAGAGAGATTTTCCATATACTGATTCACTTCCTAAATGCCTGCAACAGCTGAAGTTGGGCCAGGCCAAAACCGTTCCTAGAAACTAAATCCAGGTCTCCCATGTGAGCCACTACTGCTGCATTAGCAGGGTGCTGGAATGGAGAGAGGAGCCTGGGCTCAAATCTGAACACTCTGATGTGGATGCAGGTGTCTCCAGGAGCAGCTTAACCACTGTGCCCCACGCCTGCCCTGCCACAAATCTCATAGGAAAAGATATGCCAATCAAGTGAGGCTTCTTAGAGGAGGTGAACATGAAGTAGTCTCCATCCCTTTCAAGTGGAAAAGTGGGAAGGAGTCCCAGCTGACTCAGGCAGATGCCCTTGCAGGCTGCTCAAACAGGTGCCTTGGGACACACGGTGTTCAA